CGATGTTTGGCCTTTGACCTCTTAAAATCCTTAAACTGGCCTAGATAAAAAAAATGAAAAGGTTGTCTGCGCATACTGGACCAAGGTATAATACTAAAAAGTTTCAAGTCAATACGCCGATAAATAAAGGAATGGCTATCGATTGAAAAGTGTTAGGAATAAAAAAATAATAATACGAAAACAGTAGATCTCTCTGTGGAAACAGTAGATTTCTCTGTGGAAACAGTAGATCTCTCTGTGGAAACAGTAGATTTCTCTGTGGAAACAGTAGATCTCTCTGTGGAAACAGTAGATCTCTCTGTGGAAACAGTAGATTTACGTAGAAGGTATAAATGAAAATGTTAACTTTTAAAAACTATGTTCCCACGTAGAAGGAAGAAATAAAATGAAAGCAATTTTTGTATATCTATTGATTCCCATTTCCTTTGAACCTTTTCAAATAAACAAAACTCTCTCGTTGTACTAAATGTGAATAAAACTCGATTAAGACCTAAATTAATTTAATGAAGATAAGTGTTAACGTTCTCACCATATCTAGCAGGAACTTGTCCTCCTGTTTCGAATGGATTGAAACTAAATGGGCATTAAACAAGGCACAGTAATCATCAGCCTCGTACCAAGTTAATTTTTCCCATGCCTTTCCTTGGTTCAAGTGATAGCACGAATCCGTTTCCTTGAAGTAGGTCCACTTTCCATTTTTGCATGGTTCATCTAAATTTTTTTTTCATAAAAAAATAAAATTATTCTGCCACTTCCCTATTTTGTTACACCACACGACGAGGTTACCAAGAGTCTGTTTGGTTTATTTGTTGTTAAGCGCAAGGGTACACAATGAGCTATCTGTGCGGTGCCCACCACTGGTATCGAAACTCGATATAAGTCTTCAAACTTACTGCTAAGCCACTAGGGGACTTTACCAAGAGAATCTTTAATGTAAAACACCAGACATAGCTCGTGGTAAGTATTTATCGTGTGGTGCAAGTGTGTGTGTGTGTGTGTGTGTGAAAAATAAATAAGGTATAGGGATTTCCAACCTTTATTCGTAGCTGATATTGCTCTGTGATTCAAAGGTAAACTTAAGGGCTTTCAACTTTAAAATTCGTGGTTAATACCCGAAGGGAAACAGCATATATATATGTAGCCCATTGTGTAGTTATGCTTGAAATTAATTAAGGAAATTATTTGTTTTAATGCCAGCTCAATATATGTGTCACATTGTGACACAATGGACTGCAAGTTTATAAAACAGTCAAAAAGTGGAGTATGAGTGTGTAGTAATAAAGATAAGAATGAACTATAAATGAAAGAGTTGTTTATGAAATCATAGGGTTTAGACTGTGTTAAGAACAATTATTGTCCTAACATAATATACATTTATGTACTAGTTCATATAACTTCCCTAAATTTTGGTATTTTTCTTTTTATCAGAATTGGGTTCCTCTTTCTACCAAGTGTAGAGATATTAAGTACTAAGAAGAAGATTAATAGAACCGTTCATTACATTCGGTTCTCGTTTATAAACCACGGTTTCTTGAACTCTTAAGAGTTTATGTTTAATGGATAGTATCGTTTATTCATCTTCCAGAAATTAAAAAGTAGCTGTGTTTCCACAGAGAGATCTACTGTTTCCACAAAGAAATCTACTGTTTCCACAGAGAAATCTACTGTTTCCACAGAGAGACTACTGTTTCCACAGAGGAAATTTTAACTTTTGAAAAATGTGTTCCCACGTAGAAGGAAGAAATAGAAATTTTAACTTTTGAAAAATGTGTTCCCACGTAGAAGGAAGAAATAAATTCAGTTCATACCAGAAAAGACGGAGACATGAACACATTTGTCGTATGTTTCCGCTTCAGGGTTGTTTGACTGCCAGTTCGTGTACTCTGTCAAAGTTCCATCTGACCATTCAAACTGACCATCCATCCCAAGAGCATGAAGGCCGATCCAATAGGTAGACGACCATAATGGATCTTTCTTTCTGGCCTACAAAAATTATTGTATTTCAAATAAAAACCAAGCGGCGTTTGTTTTTGTAGTACCTGTCTTTACTTTAGTGATAAAGTAAGTTTCTGTAACTTGAAATAGCGAACAATCAACAAAAATTGGCATCATTTTTGACTGAATTAAACGTATATTCCTAAAAAAAATGCTTAAGAAACGATGAATTTGAAACCTGAATATAGAAAAATATATTCCCACGTAGAAGGAAGAAATAAAGATTTTAACTTTTGAAAAATATGTTTCCACGTAAAAGGAAGAAATAGAAATTTTAATGATTCACGCTTAGAGATAGTATATCACCTTTGATAGCCACCATTTAGAGAAATATTCTAGACAGTGCAAAATAGAAGTATTATATCACGTTTAGTAGCCACCCTTTAAAGACAGTATGGTAGTACTATTTTTTTAGTAAAAATTTTTTTAGTTTTGTATTTGAAAGATTATTTCAGGAATATTTTACATGTAATAGTATTACTTTTGAAAAATGTGTTCCCACGTAGAAGGAAAAAAATAAAAATGTTAAATTTTGAAAAATTTGTTCCCACATAGAAGGAAGAAATGGAAATTTTAACTTTTGAAAAATGTGTTCCCACGTAGAAGGAAGAAATAGAAATTTTAACTTTTGAAAAATGTGTTCCCACAGTTTTGTTTATATTCAACATGTTATTGTTCAAAGTTTCATGTACCATCAGTACTACCACAGTTTTGTTTGTATCCAACATGTTATTGTTCAAAGTTTCATGTACCATCAGTACTACCACAGTTTTGTTTGTATCCATGTTATTGTTCAAAGTTTCATGTACCATCAGTACTACCACAGTTTTGTTTATATCCAACATGTTATTGTTCAAAGTTTCATGTACCATCAGTACTACCACAGTTTTGTTTATATCCAACATGTTATTGTTCAAAAT